ATTACACAGTTTGAGAAGAAAAGGTGACAGGGGCTTTGCCCAAAGTTACATGGCCAGTGAGAAAGGAGATTGTTCCAGAACCCCATCTGATTTTAGCAGCTTTTTCCTGCTTCAAAGACAGATGTTCTTTCATGAAAAGCCTGGTGAATGCAGGCACTGAATAAAGCTCATTCCAGCACACCATTGAACAGGGAGCCAGCACCTCTTATTTTCCCTCGTTCCCAAAGCTTCACATGCCCCTCACACTCAGACTTTGAGGCCCAGGTTATTGGGAACCTCTCCCTACCTCCAGCCACATCGCCCCAAGTGCAGCATCCATATCAGCACCTAGAGCTGCCCCTCCTTCGACAGCTGGCTCCCCTCCAGCCTGTGGAGACAGCATCGTTCATTCACTGTCTTCTGTTGGTGGATATGATTTGTTCCCAGCCTTGGGCCATTCACACAGTGACACAGGATACCCTTGTCCATGGGTCACCCTACTCAGAGGGAGGCGCCCACAAGAAGTGGCATTGCTAGGTCACAGGGTGTGTGCATTTTAATTTCCATGGATATCTCCAAGTTCCCCTCCTAGACATGGTGGCAATGGGGTCTCCTCACAACTCCTGGAAATAGGCAAGGAAAGTGGCTTTATCCCAAATTTCCAGATATTAAAACAGTTCCCAACACTGTGTCCCTTGCTTCTGCCATCACAGGTGTAAGTGGCTCCATCCCCACTGAGATCTGCCTCCTGCTAAAGAGTTCCTGCCCCTTCCCTGAGCTACTTGCCCAGGTGATGCCGTGGCTGGACAAGCAGCAGTGGGAGAGGTCAGGGGTCATGTCTTCATGGTGGTATTTACTCCTACAGCCAGTGCTGCGAGGGAGGGGCCATTGTAGCCCCTGCGTTAGTTGAGGGCACTGATGCCCAGAGAGGGGACCTGAACTGAGCAGGAAGGGGAACTAAGATCTAAACCCCCAACAACATTAACTCACAACCCCTGCTCGCCGCAATCCTATATTATGCTTGTCAAAGTGTAGAGATAGCTCCAACCCTTTTTTTAGAATCATGCATTTTTATGTTCTTCAGAAAAAAAGAATTTTAAAAAGGTCCGGTGGGGGAGGCAGGTCTAGCTTTAGAACTGAGATGAGACAGTACTCAAATGTCCCATGATATGGCCTGAAACTATTCCTACAGGATATGGCTCTGCCTGTGGAGGCATCCAGGAGGCCTTCCCTTCCTTGTGGTGCTTTCCTCACTGAGCAGCCGCAGGAGCAGCCTGGCAGTGTGGCCTGGACAGAGCAGAGAGGGGTCGCTGAGCTCCAGCACCACCATGGGCAGCATCCCTGTCTCTGCAGACTGAGGGTGAGGAGGGGGCATTTCCTAGAGGGCCCTGCACCCCCAGTGAGCAGGAGTTCAGACTCACTGTCAGGAGCCCATTCTCCCATTTGTTGCTGCAGGGCCCCCGGCCTGGGCATTGGAGGGCACTCCTCCCTGGAGCAGGTGGCGGTCAGGGTCAGGCTCCTGAAGGTGGGCACTGGCTCTGCTGATGGACGTGAATACCTGGGAGGCCACAGGAAATACCCGTGGGCAGTAGTGGCCCAGGGGACAGTCCCTTCATTTCTCTCAGTTTTAGTTTTCTCATCTCTAAAATGGTGATGATCATGGACTCCTTTAGGAGAGTGGAAAGGATTTAAGGTGCTCTGTCTGAATCACCCAGCACAGAGTTGCACCCCAAAATCAAAGTGTTATGTCGGTGTCATGACCCACTTAACTTGGCTGGGCCTAAGCTCCTCACCGGTAGAAATTGTATAGAATAACATAATACTAATAAGATGACTGATTAATCAAATACTGATGATATAATCCAATCTGCCTTTATAGATTGTTTCCAGGTGAGCCTGTTGCGAGGACAGACCCTCACTCAGCCACGGCATTGTCATCCCACAGCTGTGTGCTCTGGGCAAGTCTCTGTTTCCCCCAAGTCCTGTTTCCCCACTTGATGAAGAAGATAATCATCGCTCCATTCATTAGTCTGTAAGGATTGGAGACCAGCTATGAACAGCCAGCGCACAAAAATGAGACTGACCAGGAACTTTGTACCTGGGCCCAGAGTGTGGGAAATCATCTGGAGGGAAAAAAGTTGAACTTTGAATGCAGGCCTGGAACTGCTCATTGACCCTGCCCCTCACTTGGAGTTCACCTCTGGGGACAAGAGTGTCGTCCTATTTAAGATGAGGACAATAACATGCTCTCCTGGCATTAATAGGAGAAAAAATAGTATATCACAAAAACAGTATACGAGAAGGTTTGACAGTGCCACATGCTTATGGTTAGTGGTAAGAATCACAGTCATGTTCATTGTTTGTTATGTTTTTTTTACAGCCAAACCATCTCCCCCTGTGGTATCGGGCCCCACGGGCAGGTCGCCGCCTGGACAGACAGTGAGCTTTACCTGCCAGTCCCACGGCTTCTCCCCCAGAAACATCACCCTGAAATGGTTCAAGGATGGGAATGAGCTCCCAGCCTCCCAGACCACCGTGCACCCAGAGGGAGACAGCCCTTCCTACAACGTCTCCAGCACAGCCAGGGTGCGGCTGGCCCCGGGGGATGTCCGCTCCCAGGTCATCTGCCAGGTGGCCCACGACACCCTAAAGGGGGACCCTCCTCTTCGTGGGACTGCCAACGTGTCTGAGGCCATCCGAGGTAGATGCCCCTCACACCCAGCCCAAGCCACACCTGGCCCCTGTCCTCAAAGCCTGCTTCTTCCCCTAATTTGCTCCGGGCCTGGAATCTAATTCCTGACAATCCTTCCCATCATCACACACATGGATTTGCCCATCACTCACCCCTGTCTAATGGCAGCTGGCAGGTGAAAAATCTACAACAGACCAAGCCATGTGCTTGATAGTTGTATCTACTTTACCAATAGCAACTCCACTTACTGAGTGCCTACTATAAGCCAAGCTTTTATGTGCTTGTTAATTTCACTTATTTTGCTAAAGTTATTATGTTCTAACCCCATGCCTGAGGCTGTGGTGGTTGATTTCAATCATATGACCCTAATAGCAGCTACCAGTTAGATGAAAACCACAAAAACAAGACAAAAAGCCCGACACCGTCTCTACCCCTCCCCAGAGACAAGGGGTGGGGGTCCAGGTGGGGAGGTGGAGGCGCTCAGTCCTTTCACTTAATGAAAGAACCCTCAGTGTCTGAGCCCGAGTGGGGGAGCTAAGTTCTGGAGCCCCCTCTGTAATCTGTCTGTTCCATGAGGTCAGAGCTTCTGCCCTTTGCTATTTCAGTTCCGCCCACCTTGGAGGTTACCCAACACACGGTGTCAGAGACGCAGGTGAATGCCATCGCCTGTCTGGTGAAGAACTTCTACCCCCGGCGCCTACAGCTGACCTGGCTGGAGAATGGGAACACGTCCCAAGCAGAAACAG